CAGTAGATTTCTCTTGGAGTCTTTAGGGTTTTCTATATATAGTATCATATCATTTGCAAACAGGGACAGTTTAACTTCTTCATTACCAATTTGGATGCCCTTTATTTCTTTTTCTTGCCTGATTGCTCTAGCTAGAACTTCCAGCACAATGTTAAATAGGAGTGGTGATAAAGGCCATCCTTGTCTTGAAACTCAAAGAAATTTTATGAAATAAATTTTACCGTAAGTACCTGGAATGTATGCTATGCTCTGTTCTTTTGTATTCTTTGTATACTTCATTTAATATATGCTGGTGCCCATAACTAAATTTATTTCTGTATTCAGTAATAGGTCACCTTTGCAATTTGAAAGACCCTGCTTTACATCGCTTGCCTGTTTGTTCTTGACTGATTTGGCAGCAAAGTAAAGGGAATCAGGCACTTTCTTCTTGCTTCATTCAAGTTGCTTTTTTTCCTGTCTCCTTGCTTCTTATCTCTCTCCTTATTTTTCATAGGCTATCAAGCGACCTGGTAAAAGAACTAGGTAACTGCTGGGAAACATCAGAGCCATTACTTGGTTCTTCTGTGGTAGGAGCAGAGGTACAAAAGATCAGATCTCAAAATTCAAAGGAAGATAAATCTTTGATAGAATCATCATCCCTTTATAGTAACTTGCATATTTCTTTATTCTTTTCTTGATCCTTTCTACCTATGTAAATTGTCTGTGCATGCTGATGCTCTCAAATTATTCTTGGTTTAAAATATCTTTAACCTTTTAAGTCCTGTGTATCAGCTCAGGATAACCCTGTTCCTTTCCCAGTGTGATCTCTTCCAGTACTTGTTGCCATTTTTTCCTTTTAATAAATTACTGGCACCCCCCCCCCAATTATAAAAGTAATATGTTGTACTAGGAAGTGTGGTAAATACTGAAAAGTATAAAGAAGATAAAAGTTATACCTAGTTCTATTCTATTGTGCAGAGGTGAACTGATGTAACATTTGAAAAATAAAGACCATTACTTTTAATTTCGCTGAAGTTTGATACAGGAAAAAAAATGAAATGAACCTTAAATGATTAATGAACCTCAGATAAGTATTTTTCAAAAACAGTAAATATGAGTTTCTAAGAGTCTTCCAAAATTAAAGATGATTATAAAAATCTTTTAGTACTCTGGAAATAAGACAAGAAAAGGCTGATCTGAAAGCATAATATCCTATGATAGTGATAAATGACTTTCAGCAAATAATGATATCCAGTATTTTTTATATAACAATTTTTCATCAGTTCATAGTATCACTTAGTTCTGGTTTTGTTCCCAAATTAACTGACCAGTGGACATTTTTTTTCCAGAATAAAAGATTCTTACTTTTCCTCATTTATTTCATATCACACCATATTTTAGCTTGTTTCCTATGTCTGTGTCTTTTTGTGCAGTTCTTTGTTTTTACTGGAGTTTTAAATTGCCATTATTTTTATTGCTCAGAGAAGATCTGTGCTATTTTTATTGATAGCATACCACACTTGTACTTTCACACTACTTAATCAGACAATAACGTTTTTGTGAGGTTGTCTGCTTTCTTTTTGAAGAAATTCCTCACTTATCTTTATCTTCTGTCTTGATATAGACCAGAGCTTCCTTGGCCTTTTGCTAAAGTGTCAGATTTCTTTTCATTATATTACTGGGTGAGTTCCACTGTTTCTTATATTGCGTTGTTATTTTCATTCTTAGACTCCTTTAAATAAATTTTCAGAAAAGTTAAATGGGAGCTGAATTTTCTGATATGTGCAGATTTGAAAATGCTTTTGTTCTTGTGGTTGATTGATAATTTAGTTGGGTACATATTTCTAGTTTTAAAATAAATTTTCTCAGTACTTTGGAGCCTTTTTTTTACCGTTCTTTTACTATCCAGTTGATGGTACCATATTGTCTGCTATTCATTCTTCATTCTGATAAATCGAAAGCTAGACTGCAGATTTTTCTGGGAGCTATCATAGTGAAAACAAAGTAGCCAAAAATCCTTGATGAAGCTTACATTTTCGGATGAATAAAATACTCAATAGGTTACATAGTGATGATGGAAAATAAAACGTGGAGGTTTGAGAGGAAGTTCAGGGTATAGGAAGGGGGTGGAATTTCTTTTTTAATAAACCTTTTTTTTTTTGTGAGATGAAATTTGCATAACAGAAAGTTAACCATTTTAAAGTGAATAAGTCAGTGGCATTAAATACGCATTTTGGATTCGTTGTTAGGAAAGACCAGTCCCTAGAAAAGGACATCATGTTTGGTAAAGTTGAGGGTCAGTGAAAAAGGGAAATCCTCAAAGAGATGGATTGACACAATAGCCACAACAGTGTGCTCAAACGTATCAAAGATTATGAGGATAGCGCAGGACTAGGCAACGTTTTATTCTTTATACACACATTTGCCGTGACTTAGAGCTGACTCATCAGCAACTAACAACACCAAGTACATTCACAGTGTTGTGCAACCATCACCTCTATCTAGTTCCAAAGTATATTTATTGCCCCAAAAGGAAATTCCATACTCATTGTAGTTACTCTCCACTCCCTCCCTTACAAACACCAATATGCTTTCTGTCTCTATGGATTTACCTATTCTAGGTATTTCATATAAATGGAATCATACAATATGTGACCTTTTGTGTCTGGCTTTTTTCAGTTAGCATAATTTTTTCGACTTTTATCCATATGGTAGCATGGATAAGTGCTTCATTCCCCCCTTTTTTAAATTGAGGTAAAAGTCACATAACATACAATTAACCATTTTAAAGTGTAATATTCAGTAGCATTTAGTGCATTCACACTGTTGTCCAACTACCACCTCTGTAATTTAAAATCTTTTGTCACCCCTCAAGAACATCATGAATCCATTAAGTAGTTACTCCCTATTTCTCATGTCCCTCATGCACTAGCAACCAGTAATCTTCTGCATTTGCCTATTCTGATATTTCATATAAAAGAAATCAGATAACATATGACCTTTTGTGTCTGCTTCTTTCACTTAGCGTAATGTTCTCAAAGTTTATCCATGTTGTATTATTTATCAGACTTCATTCCTTTTTCTGATAATAGTCCATCGTTTTTATATACCACAATTTGTTTGTCCATTCATTAATTGATGGACACTTGGTTTTCTCTCTGGCTGTTGTGAATAGTGCTGCTGTGAACATGTGTGTACATGCTTTTGAGTCTTTGTCTTCAATTCTTTTGAATATAAATCTAGGAGCGGAATTGCTCGGTCGTGCGTTCATTCTATTTTTTG